CAAGTAAGGCGAATTTAAGGAATGAAAAGTAGATTCAATATTAGAAGACGTATCTGTGCAACTTTTCATACTAAATGAACAAATGATAAAAACTATCTACTCATCTCAATATATGTACAAAAATCATAAAATTCAACACCTATTCATGATTAAAAACTGAGATACCTGGGAATTGAAACCAAAACTAAATGGGCCTTGACCCCTGCCTCATACCACATACAATAAACTATAGGTGTATCATAGACCTTCACATAAAAAGTTAAATGATAAAATATCTAGGTGGTAACAAAGGGGAATAGAGCCAAGATTTCTTAAATAGGCCTCAGGAGGCACTGACCAAAAATACAAACGGACTTCATTAAAATTAAGAACTTTTGTTGATCAAAGGCTCACCAAGAGAGTGTAAAGTCTAGAGATAAAGTCTAGATAAACACAGAGTTAGAGATAAAATTTGTAATACTGGGTATCTGACAAAAACCTCCCCTCTATGACTCTTAAAAATCAATTTGATCACTCCAGAAACAATTCAAGCCCATTCTGTAAACTGGCAAAAACTATACACTTGATTAAACTGTTAAATGCTGCAACGTTAAAAAAAAAATCAATTTGAAGGGAGATAGCAGAACAGAAAAATGAACAAATACATGAAACAACACCTCAAAAAATCCAGATGACCTCATCAGCCATCAGGAAATGCAAATTAAGAACATCATTCTGTATTATTGTAAACCCAACTGCATGTCTAAATTTTAAAAAGCGAATGATAAGTGGTAGCAAGGATACAGAGCAACTGTCAATCCCCTGCATGGCTGGTGGGCTCCTGCAGGGTGCAAACACTCTGGACAATGGTGGCAGTTCCTAGAAAGACTATGCATAGCCTATGGCTGGTAAGTGTAAAGTAAATGTCCATACAAATGTAAATGTGCACACAGATACACAGACGCATGTTTCAGGAAGCATGTACTTATGTGCAGGAGGCACACAAGGGTCTTTGCATCAGCCCTTTGTGGTCCCAAATTGAGAGTCACCATCCATGAACAGTGAGGGGCAAGTAAATAATATTGCGCTCAGTGAACGGACTACTTCACACAATAAAAGAGAACAGGATGACTTCATCAGCAACAGGGATGATTTGCCCTGCAAAATGTTTGAGGGAACCCGAGACAGAAGACTTCCTCTGTGTGATTCTAAGACAGCATTTTCAAAAATGGCAAAAGCAATCTGGTGTCAGAAATTTGGATAATGGCCACTTTCAAGGACACAGAGCAGATGTGGGGATGGCTTCTGGGGCTGATAATGTCCTAAATCTTGATATGGGTGTTTGTTCATTTGAAGACATGCATCAGCGGCAATGAAAGATTTACCCGCTTCCCTGAACATGTACTTCATTAGTAGACGTTTATTTTAACATATTCAACAGCACTGCCATAGTAAATGAGGACATTAAATGGGCTGTAAAATGTCCTTGGTGTCTAGGGAGCTGTGGAATAAACCACTGTGGGACCACTGGGCTGCAGTTGTAGGAACTGCCTGCTGGCTTCTCACTGGGGCTGCATTCATCTCTCCAAATCACCTTTTCTTTCTTTTCTTCTTTCCTTTTTCTCCTTCCCTCCCTCCTGCCCACACCTCTCCACTGCAGAGATCGGGATCTTTGCGATGACTCAGAGATGATATGCTGTCCAGGGAGTCATGTTTGCTGGGTGTCTTGGCTAAGCTCATCATGCATCGCTCATTTTAAAATTTACTTCGGAGTGAGGCTCTGCACAAGGGAGCTGGATGTGACTGCAGGTGTGGCTTCTGATAAGCTGGGCTGGAATTGCTGATGGTGATGGCTGAGCACAGCCTCTGGAGAACATGCCAACCCCCCAGGGAATGGGAGGCCTGGGCGGTTGTGAATCAGGGCTCTCCCTCTCCAGCTCAGTGACCTGGAATGTGGGGTGCCTCTCTGGGCCTCCTTTCTCTAACTGTAAAACCGGGCAGAGGCAGCACTGGTGGAAATGCTGTAGGGACAAAATAAACTCTTACGGAAGGCATGGCATGCTGTGTGTGGCAGTAATAGCTGTGATTCCTGGGCTTGTGGGGACTAGAGCAGCTTTGCCTGGACCTGGACCCCATACGCCCTCCTGGACGGCAGCTGTGGGGCCCAAGCTAGGTCGTGTGTGTTACCCCAGCCTGCAGTGCTTGGGTACTTCGTCGAGGATGGAAGCTGTCTATTCCTTGGCAACAGTTCCTAAATGCTTTCTTAGCTTCTGCAGCTGTTCCGGGCAATAGATGTTCAATGCCAGCAAAGAATCCCGTGTCCTGGCTGTGATTATGGAGATGGTGGAGATGTTATGTTTATAATACAGATTTTAGATTCACCTTCCTCACCACTCTCCCAGGAAGGGGCATCAGATGGACAGACACATCTGACCCCTGAAGGCAGGAAGCATTTCTGTGGCCAAGAGGAAGGCACAGCTGAGAACCGTACACCAGCTCTGGACTCTGGGTGACGCTTCCAGCAACCGTTACATGTTGAGCCAGCAGACGTGTCCTTTTCTAACTAAGAAGTATCACTGGCAAGTGACTAATGACTTTTGATACTCATAAAACCATTTGAGATTCTCTTAAAGGATCATGTCCATGGATTAAGTGCAATTCCAAAATGCCCTGAAGTTGGCTAATTAAATGTCACCAAGTACAGAATGAGGGAAACTGACAGTGTCAAGAATATGGATAGTTCACTATAGGAGCTCTTTAAAAATAAGCTAAAATTCTTCTACTTCAGGTCATCCTGTTCCACCTCACCACCTATATTTTTCCTTTCTTTTTTATCTTTAATAATTTGAACATTTAAAAATACATAGTAAAATACAGAGGATAACAGAACAAATATTAATGTTGTACCAGCATTTTTTAAAGAACTAGAATATGATAGATCTTCCCC